AATATATTTATTTATTTAAAGTAACTAATGTTTTAATCATATACTCTACGACACTGGTCACTCATTTCCACTCAAAATACCTACATAATCGGATTAAAAGTTTTATAGCTGTATTGTATTTCTTCAGATACAAGGTGGGTTAGTCGAAAACATCTTAAACTGCCAGTTTTAGTTTGGTTTTTGTTATTATATCATATTAGCTGTCCTCTCTGTATTTCAGTTCTCTAATGAGGGTCAAACTTGCAGTGAGCTATCAACAAATTATGAACGGACTATAGTTGAATATTCAGTGGTTTGAAAGTGATAACAAAAATAGTTTAAAAAATTTTATTTTCAACAGTGAACTCATTATTATTATTAAATAAATAATTCCAGCAAATTATAAGTTATTTAACACAAAAAATCATAAAAATCATAGAAAACTCCCATAGGGATAGTAGGTACCGAAAAGCCCAGATTTTCTATGAAATTGCATCGTGGAATCTTTGAAATAACTTGTTTGTATAACATCTCAGATTACTTTTCAACTATAAAAAACATGTTCATTTTAGAAATGAAATCAAATTTTGTGTAGGAAATTTAATTTTTGGCTTCTTATGATGCTCATTTGAACTACTAGGTATACACAGGTAAATCATTTGTAAAAAACTATAGAAAATTAAGTAGAAAATGATTTCAAGTTTTTATTCACCCAGTATCAGAAAAAAGTTATTGTTCAAATTATTATTCTATAATGGGAACATTTTTGAAACATTCTCTTAACAAACCAGTCTCAAATGAGTTTTCATTAAAAACAGAGACGTTTCAATGGATTTTTCTAGATTATTTTTGAAATAACTTTTGAACCGCTCTGTGTACATCCATATAATTGCACATTTCTCAAAAGTACTTCTATAATAGAAAACGAATACGGAAAGCAATATATGGCATTTCGTTTAAAAAAATAAGAAGTTTTTTACGCCACGTTTCATATGGAAGTAGTTGTTTCGGAAGGAATATTACATTTCGTGTATTTCAATGTCATGTGAAAGTAGTTGTTTCGAAGATGTTTTTTCCAGTTTGTATCTGAATTAAAATTTTATGTATGCTCTGCATATCTTTTTAAAGAGTTTTTATTGTAGTTATTTCCTTTCTTCTCTTCTTTGGAAGTTTCCAACATTTTTTGTTTTAAATGATGGAGAAGTACGGAGCCGAAACCTTTTTTTTCTTAAAAAAATACATAGAAAAAATTCCTTTTTCAATTTTAACGCCAAAGTTATTTTTATAAAAGTAAAGGGTTCAGCAAAGGAAAACTACTCTTCGCGTACCTCAAATGTTGAAACTGTGACACCTAATCCCAATACAATGACTTCATATTTAGAGAACGTAATTTTTCGAAGCGAACCAGTTTTTCATATTTCTAGAATAAACTTATTAAGGGTGAGAAATCACCAAATTGACACTTATTTGGAGGCGGTGATTTGAATAACTAAAATTCTTATATGTTCCAAACACTGTGATGTTCTCATTGCCGAATTGAAGATATTTATAATACCAATATTTCATACTATTCTTCCTCAGCAGAAATCATGGTCGAGTACATACATAAATTGAAATATAACTTCAAAACCAAAATAGGAAAACGCACAGTTTTTGAGTATACAAATTGAATCATACATCTATTCCCGAAATTGATACCTAACTTTATGATTAAAAAAAATGACACTAAGTATTAAAAGAGATGAACCAAACATTAAGAGCTAAAAAGAAGCACTTCTTCGTATTATATTCCGATAAATGGTTCCAGTTATTCATTCATGGTTATTTTCACCGAAATTTCTTGGTGACCTGTGAAGCAGCACGTATGCACACATGGAATATATCTGGTTCTTGTAGACAGATGCCACATGTTATTAAAACCCTTCAGGGGATATTCGAACCGTTGTTGACTTAAATTAAATAAAAATCTATACGATAGAAAAACATTCAGAAAAAATGTTGACGGACAACTACATTATGTCGCACGGTGTAAAAAAATAAAAAACACATGCATTTGCTACCGATTTAGCCGCTCTATTCCCTTTCTCCACGCAATCGCTGCAGAACAGTGAATTCAAATTAGATAATTCAATAATTCATAGAGTATTTTTTATTACAAGTATCTATACGAATAGGTATCTCAAATGTTTAGAAAAAAAAATGGAGATGCCGGAGCCAAAAAAACAATTCAAACGGTGTCTCAAAACATATTCCAAAATGATTGGAAATATCGATAATTCAAACGAAGTTCTTATAAAATTATTTATTACACATGAACAGAGTGATCCAATCAAAATCCTGAATTGAAACCAATAAACGAGAGGAAGTTTGTAAGTTTACAAAATAATTTCCTCAACTATGACTCAAAGTTTCCAGGAAACAATTGTACCAAAAATCAGGCATTTCTAGGTAAAAAAAAGATTTTTCTGGGCCATAACATGTGAAAGTACAGAAAATAACAGACTTAGGATGATTAACAAAATAATTTCCTTAACTATGGCTCAAAGTTAAAAACGCCTTCAACATTACCGAAACCAGTTTTGGCATATTTCCATACAGATCCAGAAGCTTCCATTGGCAGTGCAGAAAAAGATTTGGATGTGTATCACATGTTTCAGTTCATTACTTTTGAAAAATCACGAAATGCATCCGTATAAATTTACCAAAGTTCAAGCTCTCAAAGCAGAAGACTTTGAGAGTAGAGTGCATTTTTGCGAATCCGTAATACATATACAGGAAGATCGGGAATTTTTGTCATGAATAATTTGGAGTGACGAATCAAAATTTACTAGAGATGGCATTTTTGATAGAAGGAATAAACATTTTTGTGCTGATCATAATCCTCATGTGACAAAAGAAATGGGTTTTCAAGAAAAATTTTATCAGAATGTTTTCTGTATTTTGGAGAACAATGAAATTAGCCTTTTAATTTATGAAAACTCACTAAATGTAGAGAGATACCTCCAAATATCAAGGACGACTGTTACCAATTTCCTCGAAAATTTGCCCTCAGAGGAATATAGGAATTCGTGGTTTCAACTGGACGGAGTGCCAGTCTCTTCAATTCCTGGAACAGAAAAATGTCCTAGGCAGCCAAATATGGTGGATACGGTGGCTGAGGCATAATTTCAGTGTCGTTTTCGGCAAAAAAAATTACGAACAAGCAATGACGACTCATTAGGTTCATTATCGTGACACAAAAGCCACGAATTGTTTTTCCATAATACCGAACGTTTTCTTCGTATTGCTTCTCGCAAGCGGCGAATAATTTCAAGATAATACTCATTGACCGTACGACCATGTGACAAGAACTCTTGATGCACTACGCGACGGTTATCGAAGAAAACAGCAAGTCCTTGGCATTTGATCGAACTTGAAAATTTTTCATCAAAATTCGTGTTTCATATTATCGTTTAGGAGTATAGCCGTTGACTTGATATCTGAATGGGCAAAGAAACTTTTCACATTTGACAGACATCAAACCCACACACCTTTTTTGCATATTTATTATGAACTCAAAACTTAATTGCATTCAAGTTCTTTTAAGCTTTTCCACATCTCCCAACTCCTTTAATATTCTTTCCAGAAATATCATTGGTAACTGATTCTTCTACGTTTTTTATTGCGTTCATCGTTTCCGCAAAAGTTTGTTTCTTTTCGCACTGATTGGTCCATTTTACAATGTGAATGAATGATTTTTTCCGGAGAGCATTATGATTTTTACGTAGAGTTCAAATGTTGCCAATGATCTCAATATTACTGGATAATGGCTGCTCTATATCATCTAAACTATATCCATCCAACAAGAAAAGTAACCCAAACAATGATAGATGCGTGATCACCACGCACATTTGAATCTATTGGGTAAAATGAACAAGCCTCCTTACGCTGGCCAATCAGATTTAACTGCAATCGGCTGGCGGAATTCATGTTATAGTGTCGGAGTGTTTAGGTACGTTTCAACGCATATGATGTGTACATATATGGTATTTTAAGGTTTGAAATTTTCAAGATGTAAAGCACTGATACGGCTGAATAAACTGCTATTTCATATCCTTATACTCCACTCCTGTACCCATCCGCATATTATTGAAAAAATCGGTCGTTCCTTAGTGCGACTCTGTACAAGTATCATTGTCTGGAAGATCACGTGCACTATGCAATGGAGCACTCCGGTGCTTAGATAGACAGAGTTATACATTCCT